GATCCCTATTTTTTTATTTATTTAAAACTCTTCGTAGAATGAAAAGATTATGAAAGAACTAACATTGAATAGAATCATGAGTAACAAACTTACCATACACGTGTTAATTCTATTTTGATCTGATTCTTTTTTGCACATTATTTATGATAGATTGCATTTCTATATTGATATTAATAAAGACATAAAACATAATTATCTTTTATCTCTTTTGTGATTTTTAAGTGCACAATCATGTTGATATGTATTGTGAATGAGACAAAAAAACTCATCCACCATCAAAAGAAAAAATAAAGCTGTATTTTGAAATGTTTATTATTATTGATTTTGAAGCAATAAAAGATATTAATGGATGTATCATCATGTTATTTACTCGTTCACCTCATATTGATTCAAAATCGAAATAATACAAAATTGTCTTATTTTGTTCTTTGTTAATTTTAAAATATACATGTGATTCTACTATCAATCAGATTTGAGGAAAGTACATTCGTTCAAAATTTTGCTCAACGATATTCAATAATATGAGAAACTTTACTGCAACAGTTTTAATAAACTATACGATAGCTTTCTGTTAGTTGATGGTGTTTTAAACTATAGTATTTCTTTAGTCGTATTAATTCAACTTTTTAGATATTTTTGAATTTAAACAAGAATTTTATTTATTCATTTGATAATCAAATCTTTTCAATATTTAATTATCATTCTTTTAAATTCAATGTATAAGATTATGTAACTCATATACACTTGAATATAAAAACCGCTCTCAAATTAACCGATCTAAATATTTGTAAAATACAATAAATAATAATAAAATAAAAATTTATCACAAGAAAATTTTACTCAGAATAACTAATTATGTTGGATTATTTTTTAAAGACAGATATAATCCAATAAAATCAATCGTAAACTATTGAACAGAATGTAACACTTCGATTAAAACACGTTTTCTACTTGATCATTAGAATTCAATAATAAAAAAAAAGAACGTTTCATATGATTAGATGGAACATTTTATAAAACTAGACGAATACGAATAAGAAATTATTGTATGATATCATTGATTTTATAATATTTTCTGGAACTCTCATAGCCGAAATGGAACCAGTTTGGATTTCTCAGAACTGGTATCGGTACTGGTTTAAAATCCATACCGATATTGGACTAACGAGTTATTGTACTATCCCATCTGTGGATAGTGATATCTAACATAGTTAACCTTCAACAAAGTTTCATTACACATCTTCTATGAGATATTCAGAGCAAAAAATTAATAAGACACACTAGTATTAGTCTCATCTCTATCTCATACTGTTTGACGAATAATAGTGAGTGTAACTTTATATCAAAGTTATTCGGCGCCTGCGTCCTTCCCTGTTCCTAATAACACAAGTCAAAAGTTAAAGCTTCATCTATATATTCTTTTCTAGCAATTGAAGTCAATCCTACTCAAGAATCTTCTAGCAATAGTGACTGATACTATGCAATAGTGAAATCAGTCTTCTAAAACTTTCTTTAAACTTGTATAAAATTCTTAGAACTTAAATCGATCAAAACCCATGTTTCAATATGTGAAATAGTTAAAGTTATTATTTTTGATATAACTTAATTAAATCATTTTATGACAAATTTACTGCCATCGGCATGCAATTGATACAAAAGATATGAATCGATCTCAATGTTTCAAATTTTAATGTATAAGTAAATGAACCCTTATAACAAATTAGTGTAATTGTTAGATCAACAGAATAAAAAAAGAAAGAAATTTGAAACAATGAAACACAAATGCAAATATTAAACGAATACATAGTAACAAGACAAATAAAAGATAGAGGATCAAAAATAGTAATTCACATCCGAAATGGAGCAATGAATGAAGACTAAACATTTCTTTGACAGTTAATTAACATTAGGAATTTATAATTTAACGTATTTTGCATTTTATCATATAGCTAAATATGATATATGCCTTTCATATTTAGATCATTAAGACTTGTACTGACAAATTTTTCTTAAGATGATGAATCTAGCCTTTATACTTATATCTGTTCAGTATAGAATTAGTATACTAAAAATGAGAGACATAGTGTGTTATCATTAAACACTACACTTAATAAAATTAAAAAGAAAAAGAAATAAATTAATATATACAAGTACTTGAATTAATTAGCATAGACTTTTTCCTGACTAGAAAATTTAATGCTAAATTAAAAGAACGTAAATAATCTCAAAACTAAATTTAGATTTAATGTCATTTCAAGAGACAATATAAAATGTAATTCATCAATCAAAAAGAACGAACAAAGAATTTGATTCACTAATTAAAAATATAGATGTACTTCGACGAAGTCATGGGTTATAATAATTAATAGAGACAAGCATTTGACTTAACGCACTAAAATATCATATCAAAATAAAGACTCAAACATAGGAATGAAGAAAATAGGTTTTTAAGATTTTGTCTTTTTTTATTTCGATTTCACGTAATACAATCTAACACAATATTTTCAAGAAATACATCTTTGTTAAAGTTGCAAGGAATAAAAAAATTTTGGTTGTAAATTTTTTAGCGATTATTTTATAGATAACCATACGCATCGATGTATGCTACTTCGAAGATATTTATTAAAAAAATATCTTATAACAATTTTGAAGATGTATGTATATAATCAACTTTAGTATAAGTTATCGTTTATAGTCATGAGCAGTCATGACACTAACGAACTCTCTAGACTGCTCATTATTTCAAGTATAATTCAACAACTGACTTGACTTCATTATTTTTAGTTCATTTATTTGTTTTTATGTAATTCATTAAATTCAATGATATAGAACTTGGAAAAAATAAAATTTGAAAAGAAATAACATATGAAATCTTAAATTTTTTACATATTTTTATGTTATAAATACTAAATAATGACTTTCTATACTTATCTTATTGTTTTAATTTAAATAGTTAATGATCTTCTGTAATAATTGTAATAATAAATTATATCAATTGAAAATTATCAATTGAATTGAATAGGACATAATGAGAAACAATTATCGTACGAAATAAATCTGGTGGAAAAACTGAAAGATATAAACTTACGAATATGTCATATTAAATTATCGATCATGAAAATAGACTTTTCTCAATTTATCTTTGTTTTTTTTTCTATTACAAACATTTAAAGAGCATGAACAAACTAGTTAATGATGACAAACAAGAATTTATAGTTCAGTAAACAATACTATAAGGACTTCTTTTTAGATTCGATCAATGATTGTTTGATCAAACAAACTCTTTTACTTTTTCAAAATTTTTAACATATTCATAGAGCATAGATGAATCTCATTAAAAGAAATGACGACTTACTCTTTTCGCAGAATAACTATAAACTAGCTGTTCAAGCAAAATTTTTTTTCATGAAGTTTTTTTCTATGTTTCTGTATAGGACCATTGAGGGATGTCTGGTCTTTCTTTTTTTTTCTTGAAAGATAACCTATGATATTCTCTATAAAGTTTATTTGAAATATATTTCTATTCAATACCATAGAAGGGCTTTATACGAAAAGAATATTTCTGATGGCAGCAAAATGTACTTGCTTATTCTCTTTTTTCTCTAACAAGAAAGAATTTAAAACCCAACTATATGGACAGATAAGTGTATTTTTCAAAAACAAAAGAAACTCAATTCTTTATTTATTAAAATCTTCTGTTTTTTTTTATAATAAATTTTTAATCACTTCCAAATCTGATTATAATAAGAATGGCGTATATTTTAACAAGCATACTTTAAGGCCCCCCTCAGAAACGAACTTTGTTATTTTTCATCCGATTTCAACCAAAATTTCAGGAAATGTTGATCTTGACTAGAATAGCTTATGGTTAAAATATCTCCCCCAAATCTCAAAGAAATGCACAAGTTCTAGTCAATTCATTACCCTTTACACGGGCAAGGGTTTCACAATAAGGATACGAGCTAACAAGCCCGGATGGTTTTCAGGTTGTAGAGTGCCCTTAGATCTAGATCGTAATAGAGCCCAATTTTTAAATTTCTCTTTGTTTGATTTTTAAAAAACCTTTTTCTCAAAATTCACGAATTCGTGCCCAAAAAAATTGCTAACAAAAATGAAATATCTAAGCTTTTTATTTCAGCGAAAGAGAAATTCAAAAATGGAACTCTATTACGACCTAGCCCTAATTGTCCTCTATTCAACAAAAACAAAAATTATCCCTTATCTATTGAGTCGTTATTGAAAAATCCTTGCCCGCGTAAACGGTATGCTCGAAAAAAATTTATTTTGAGAAAAAGGAAAAATCAGTATTAGAAATCGATTTTTCCGAAAATCACCTGATTTATATATCAATGTTCAAGACAGGCTATAAATTTGTGATCTTAATATTAAGTATTCATAGTCTCTTAGTGATTAGTATAGAAAAAAACTTTACGAAATACTGATGCAAAGATAAAGCAGCCTAAAAATTCGAAAAAGCTTTAAAAAACCCGTGGAAATTTCTCGTAAAGTATGACAGTAGCAGCCAAGTTTTAGACGATAAGTTCGTCAAAATCAATTCATTTTTAGATAAACCATAGATATTCTGAAAGAGGAGACTTCGGTGCATCTTCTCATGATAAAACTTCAATTTCGACTCGTCTCCGAAAAATTGGATTTTCTGAGGGGGGTCCCCCTTAACAAGATTTAATAAACATTTCTTTAAAGATTTTTTTCACACGTTATCTATAGAAAAGAAAAATTTACACATTTGAGACCTAGAGGATAATGGAATTAGTGTAAAATTTCTATTTTAAAGAAAACAAAAAGAATCAGAGGTACTCGTTTTTTTTTGACGAATTTTTTCTTTCTATGCATAAGTAACCGATAAAAAGCGTGTTGGTGACCGTAGAAACGATGACATGTGAAGGAAAGAGAATGAAGAAAAATAACATTTATTAACTTATTTTTATTTCTGAAACGACATTATCGCAGAATAATATATTTATTTTAGAGAAAAATAAATGGCAGATTCTGAACAACCTTTATTATCGTCAACAGAAAACAGGTAAAAAAACCATAAAAAAAAGAAAACTGAAATAAAATATTAAATTTTTATATATTCAAGAGAAAAACATAGTGTAGTAGTTATTGGTGGTGGTTGGTCTGGTATTTATGCTTTGAAATATCTCTTAGGTGAAGGTCTTGATGCACATTTATATGAAAGTCGTTCAAATATTGGAGGTATTTGGTATTTTGATGAAAATGAAAATGTTAGTGGTGTTTATAAATCAGCTCATGTTACATCATCAAAAACATTTTTACATGCATCTGATTTTCCATTTCCGAAAACGATTGGTGAATTTCCTTCTCATGGAGAGGTTCTGGCTTATTTACATTCATATGCTGATCATTTTAAACTTTGGTCAAATATTCATCTTAATTCTAAAATTGTACGTGTCGAACCACAATGGAGTCTTATATTAAATGACGGTTTAAAAATAATTGATTGTAACTATCTTGTTGTCTGTTCAGGACAACATCAAATAGCTAGTGATCCACGTTCAAGTTATCCATTTAATCAATTTACTGGTACATTTTCTCATAGTATAACATATAAAACTCCATATGATAATAAATTTATTAATAAAAGAATTCTTGTTGTTGGTGGTGGTGAAACAGCAAGTGATTTAGCTGTTGAATTAAGTGCTACAATAGCTAAACGTGTGTATATGAGTATTCGTGGAGGACAATGGTTTCAAGCACGTCTATTAGGACAACAACCAGCTGATATTATGTATACAATGTTAATGAGATTATATGGGTATTATGATACTATATTGGTTCGTTGTTGGAGACGAATATTTTTTGTACCTATGTGGGGTGTTGGTGGTACAGGTATACGTGAATGGACTCCAACAGTTCCATTCTTACATGGTTTTATTAATAAAAGTCGAGAAATTGTTGATCATGTTGCACTTAATCGTGTTATTCCAAAACGTGGAATTAAAACTATTAATGAACAATTAATAACATTTGACAAAGAAGAAAATCCAATTGAAATTGATCATATTCTTTTATGTACTGGCTTTCAATGGACACATCCATTTTTTTCTAGTACAGATATACATGATTTATACAAACTTGTTTTTGCATCTGGTGTTGATGGAACTTTAGCATTTGTTGGTACAGCAAGACCAGTATTTGGTTCTATACCAGCAATGGCAGAATTACAGGCACGCTGGGTAGCTGCAGTATTTTCTGGTCGACGGCGTTTACCATCAGAAAAAGTAATGGCTAAAAGCCGTCGAGCATATTGGGCAAGACATGCTAATCTTTATCCACATGATCATAAACGTCTCAAACAATTAGTTAATCTTTTTGAATACAGCGATGTCATTGGTGATGAATTAGGTGTACGAGTTGCTTTATTTTATTTATTTTTTCGACATCCAAGATCTTGGTATCGTATTTATTGTGCTTCTCCATGGTCACCATTTCTGTTTCGTATTGGTCGATTATCATCTGACGATGAAAAATTAGCTTATCAACGACATTTAGCATGTATACCAGAAAAAGATCAAGCATTTCATCGATATAATGATGTTATGCTTAGTGCATGTTTATTAATAATACTTTTTTGCATTTCTGTCTCAATTTTAATATTAATTTTGATTTTTTATTACGTTCTTAAATAATAAATAATTTTTTTAATATATAATTTATATATATGGAAAATCTTTCTATAAGAAGATTAGTTTTTTATGTTCTAAAAGAATCTTGTATTGTTGATTGTAATCGATCAAAACAAATTCTGATTACTGTTTTTTTTCTCCATATACAATATTTTACATGGATCAAACGTAAGTAAAGAAATTTGAGATCAGATGCCCTTCACTTTTTTCTGTCGTTTACTTTTTTTATTGACGTCAGATACACATCAGAATCCTATGTTGTTGACAATATGATACCATTCGATTATGATACAGAAGAAAATTCATTTGATATTTGATTGAATTAAATTTTTACTATTTACACTTTCTTAAGGACATAGTTAGAAAACAAGAAGAATAAAATGAATTCATCGTTCTTACTTAAATCTGACCAAAAGTTCTGATAATGCTCCTGGCAATTTTATAAACCAGCTAATATTTGAGAGTTTATTATATGAATAAATAATAGAATCTCTTGTCTATACTAATATATATAATAAATCTTTTTTCTGGGCTTAGTTTTGATATTCTTTCAGATAAAATGCAATTCGTACTAAAAAATATTTGAAAAATAGATATTGAACTTGATCTTCAAATTCGACCCTTTTTGAGAATAAATACAAAGACAAAGCACGAGGAACTTACAACAGCATTGGGACTCAACGCTTCATCACATCCAATAATTGCAAGGTAAACAAAGCGTTCTTACGAAAGGAAGAGAAGATATTAATGACGACTCTCGATTTGGTCGTCTGGTTTCCGAGCTGGCAGGTATACATATTGAACTGGTACGACATATTATCAACAGTGATCCACATTCAACTTATGATGATATTATATAGCTAACACTTCTCTTTCTCATGGTACAATAGAATGAGTTATTGACAATTGTCTAAACTCAATGATGCATAGAAGTAACAACGAGTTAGAATTTGTCCTGAAAATTTGGTGAAATTCTGTGATGAATCACGGCGATTATATAATATTGTCACAGGTGATAAGATATGGATTTATCACAGACAAATTGGGCATAGGTTAACTAACGCAAGCTAGGTTAGTGGAGGTGAATCACTAACAACTATTGTTAGCCAAAATAGATTTGAACTAAAACCTTTGCTTTCTATATTCTTTAAATTAAGGGGTCCTGTTCTTATACATAGTTTAGATGAAGGTAAGATTATAGATTACAACTATTATATTGAAAATTGCCACAAGTTTGTTGTCAATGAAATATGGAAATAAAGAAAGTCATCAGATACAAAAGATATAAAATTACTTTTTGACAATGTTCGACTTCATACTCATCCAGATATTATTAATTATTTGACACAAGAAGATATCAATATCATGCCGCATCTATCATTGTCACTAGATCTTGCATCATATGTTTTTTGGTTAAATAATTATTTCAAGCGTAATTTAACTGATCAAATAAATGAATATTCATTAGCTTGTGCAGTTTCCAACATAGTTGGAAATATTTCAGAAGAAAAGATTAAAAAAAAACGTTTGACAAATTGTTAGAAAAGCTGAAACTTTATATAACTAATTGTGGGACTACTTTAAACATTTAATAAAATTAAATTAAAAATATCTCTTTATTTTTTTGTATTTATTATTTAATATTGTCAGAACTTTTCGTCAAATCTAAGTATTTTATGATTTTTGTAATCATTTCCAACGCTACTTCTATTGAAGAGTTGAATGTAGTCGAATGTTACGGTGCACAATTAGAGTCCTACAAGATAGTCTCGAATCCCAAACAGTTCCATTAGTCTCATTCTGCAGGACGATTTGGATTGGACCATTTTGAAAATAAACAGGATTCGAGACTAGAACAAAGTTTGTCCTACAGAACTCTAAATAAAACTTTTCATCATTAGTCATTGATGACAGTTACTGTTTTCATAAACCGCTCGCTTCTATATCAAGTTATGTGCCTGATCATATTTCATGAAAGATATTTCAATCTGATACAAAATCTTAAACTTTGGTTAATTTGAATTAATTATTCATTATTTTACTATTAGTATTTGGTCAGTTAATTGTCAATATTTCAAGACAATGTTAATTATAAGGAAATGAACAAATACTCAAAGTCAAAGAAGGTTCTTTTTCATTGAATAATAAACAAAATCTTCATGCAGAAAATTACTTTTCGATATTTTATAATGCAAGATTAAACGAATTTCAATCATTTACGAAAGAATATAGACGATTACTTAGATGAAATGTTTTCATATATTCAAATAAATTAACTTTAACAATCTTCGGTTCAAACGACAAACGATACAGGTAATAATGGAAAAATAATCTACAGAATAATTGAACAGTTCTTTACACCTTCATCTATTATATAAAACAGAAATAGCATAACTGATTGTTGCTCTAATTGTCATTGTGTAAAGCCATGACTATAGAAAACAAGAAGAATTCAAGAAATTATTTTCGTCAACATTTCATGCATTTATATGACATGCACCAGTCACAGTCCGACTAGATAACAGCCTATTAACATGTCAAACCAACTGCTCATGAACAGGACTTCATATCAATCCGTATGATTAATAATCGCATTGGGCATCAATCTCAAAACTACCTGTCCGATAGAATATTGTTCCGACTGAGATTGATGCATACCTAGTTCATATTCCATATCTTTTGTTCATGAATCAAAATAAAAAAGCATGGATGCTTTTTTTTTGCTCTTGAATAAATACCATTCTATTTTTCTCTCTCTCTTGACAGTGTCTCTTATTCAATTCAAACTTACAACTGAAGTTAAGAACAAAGAGTCCAACATTTATCGCCTGTTTTTTTTTATCTTGATGAATCATCAATCTTCGTCACTGCTTGAGAAATCGTTCTTTTATTTTTTTTTTCTTTCCGCTTTCTTTTTTTTTTATTCTACTCTTTAAAAAAACTGTTGGTAGTCACCGTCAACCGTCATCATAACATTATATTAACTTACGGCTTCGTTATTCTGTAAAATATCCTTGGAGAAAAAGTAGGAGGTAACATAGAAGAAAAAATAAGCAGTAGGTGGAAAATGAGAAACATCGATAAAATTCTGCAATTATTTGCTCATATAACTAAGAACAAAACAAACAATTTTATTATTTCAATAAAGTTTTATGATAAAGTTATTTGTCCTTTTATTTTTTTTTGTAGATGAATAATTTAGATAATGATATATATTTCGAGTTTGAGACATATGAAGAATTTCGAAAAGAACGATTGAAATTAAATTATGATAGTACATTAAAATTATGGTATTCATTACCTAACGGTCTACCAACACTTGATAATAATCTAGTCAGACGACAAACAATTAAACAACAACGAGCACGTTTAAGAAAAATGAAATTTTTTGCTTTTTATTGTACATTATTCAAGAAGACATTTCTCAAAAAGAAAATTCAATCAAAAGGTAAATAAATAGATTTGATGATTAATCGAAAAATTATTATATAATAACTTAATTTTAGTTATCGTTTGTTTTCAAGATAATTTTTGATGAAATTATTGAGAGAATATAAATTAGATTATTATTCGTTTATGACAAAAAAAATCAAATCGAAAAAGCTTACATGAAAATTATTGTTTTGAAGTAAATTATAGAAAACTTTTGTTTGATTTTGTTTTTTTTTGTTATTCTAAGATAGTAGTTTTGAAACCAAAACAAAAATAGAAAGATGTACTTTGTTGAAAATTTGATTTCCTTTTTTTTTATCTTTCAGGTTTTCGCCTATGGAATGAAACATTAAATGTACCCACATTAGAAGATGAGTCTCTTTATGGCATATATAAATCAATGGGTCGAATCACTACAGAATTTCTTAATAAAGGACGACGATATGATGAAACAATCAGTTATGAAGAATTATTTAAAGCTGGTCGTACTGTTTGGTTTATGATTGCTTTTCAAATGCAACTCAATTTACCCTTAATTTTAACTGATTCTATATTTGGTTATAATATGCTTTATCCATATACAGATGATTTAGTCGATAGTAACGATGTAAGTCGAGAAGCAAAAGTTGATTTTGCAAAACTTTTTCATGAACGATTACTGATTGGTGAACCAACGTATGATTCTCAAGTACATTTTGATGGAAAACAATCAAATGTTGCGGAATTAAAGTTACCATCATCATTACAATCACAAGCTAATCGTATAGTAAAAATATTTGATATGGTTAAATTTATTGAAAATGATTGGAAACGTGGTGGTGAATATGAAGGTGTTTATATGAGCTTAGCTACAATACATGAATCACAAATGAAATCAACATTACAACATGCAAGAACTGAAGATAGCTATGCACCAACAATGACACAAGTTGAACAAGTTAGTGCAGAAAAAGGTGGTGCATCATTAATAGCTGCTGGATTTTTAATTGAAGGACGATTAACGAGAGCTAAAATAGCTTATTTAGAATATTTAGGATTTGGTTTGCAATTACTTGATGATTTACAAGTAAGTTTATATTTTTAAAATTTAACTTAATTTTTGAAAGGAAACTTTCCTTTCGTTTTATTTTTTTAAGGATGTAAAAGAAGATATGAAAAATAATCATCGAACAATTTTTACTCAAACTCTTGCTGAAGGTCGACCATTAGATGCACCAACAGCACGTCTTATTCAATATTGTTATTGTGCACCAGCATATGAAAAATTTAGTGATGATCAACGTACAATTTCAGATAGAAAAACTGGTGTTACATTAGCTCAATATGTTCGAGTTTCAATGATGATGTTTTCTGTTGTACTAGTTTTAGAAGCTGCATCTCGATTACAAGAATATTATTCAAAAGAATTCTATCGTGAATTATCTTCATTAAGTCCATTTACATTTAATGATCTCAAAGCAGCTCGTGTTGAAGAAACACTTTGGGCTATTGTAAGAAATCAATGGTTTTGATAAATTAATTTTTTAGTCTTTTATTTAACAATTGTGATAATCTATTGATATTATTAACATATGTTTTATGTTTTTTATTTTGTCAAAAAACAAAAAAATAAAAATGAATGATGCCAATTAATCATATTTGTATAATTTGAAGAAACGTTTGAAAAATGATTAGTTTTTTTTTTATAGAAGTTTTGTTTTTGTGGTATCACTTTTAGAACTTGTATCATGATTGTAGGAATAGGTTTTAAAAAAATTTGATAAAACAATGACAGATCTAGAATTTTGTAAGAGAATCACTCCTCTGAAGAAGAACTGTTCATAGGGAAAAAACACTTTTTGAGGCTTATATCAGGTAGTATAAACTCATTTTTCGTTCATTTTTGCTGAAGAAAAACAAACAGAATCTTGTTCGAATCGCGGACGATCTCTCCTTCGTTTTTCCCCATAAATCTATCACTGCAATAAAAACTGTCAAAAATTGGGTCTTAATGCATTTGATAAATTCAAAACAACTAGTGAGTAGGACAATAATATAGAGTAGTTAGAGTTTATGCTAAACATCTTTTCAAAAATCGAAGTTTAAAGTAACATAACTTTGTTATTTTTTGTCATTTGTTTTGGTCAAAACCACTGATGTGCAACCGAAACTGTTCTTTACATACCTATCTAAAATTATGAACAGGTCTTGTATAGAATCGAGCTATTATGAACATTCAGCCAAAACAGTTGGAATACTTCAGCTTCATTCTAAATCACTTTTCTTATTACGTGAAAATGAATAATTATTAAATTTTGCACCAGTAAATAGAGCATCTCTTACACTACAATTAGCCAGATTGAATTGTGTCTAAATCTTCTATTTTCAGGTAACAGTAATCAAAATAGTAAAACATAATTAATAATAAAAAACGAAATAAGAGCTTTGTTCCGAATAAATCCATTTGGACTATTCTAAACAATCAAATACAGAATTCTTTATTCTTAGGACAAATAAAAAAGTTTCAACAACAAATGATAAATCCTGCCTGTCGGTCAATATGCTTTTATATTTTATCTTTGATCCTTTTACACTGCATTTTGAAGAAGTCAGTAAATAATGATTTTCATAGTCTTATCTTTTATGAATTCTCAAATATGTTGTTTTAACAATGTATTACATTGTTAAAACAACATATTTGAGAATTCATAAAAGATAAGAATATAGAAATATTTATTTCCTTCTTCAAAATGCAGTGTAATAGGATCAAAGATACAACATAAAAACATATTGACCGACAGACAGGATTTGTCATTGAAACTTGTTTTTATTTGTCCTAAAGATAGAGAATTCTGTATTTGATTGTTTAGAACAATCCAAATGGAGTTATTCTGAACAAAGCTCTTATTTTTATTATTATTGATTACCTTTTACTATTTTGATTATTCTTACCTGAAAATAAAAGATTTAGACACAATTCAATCTGGCTAATTGTAGTGTAAGAGATGCTCTATCTACTAATGCAAAATTTACTAATTAATCTTTCTCACATAATGAGAAAAGTGATTTAGAATGAAGTTGAAGTATTTCGACTATTTTGGCTGAGTGCTCATAATAGCTCGATTCTATACAAGACCTGTTCATAGTTTTAGATAGGTATATAGAGAACAGTTCATGGTATATGTCAGTATTTTTAGTCAAAAAAACATGGCAAAAAATAACAAAGTTATGATACTTTAAACTTCAATTTTTGAAAAGATCTTCAGTATAGTCTCTAACTACTCTATACTATTCTCGATAAATCTAATAGTATGTGTCTATTAAAAATCTGCAAATCCGATAATTATACAGCACTTGATTATCTGTTCTTTTTACCTTAATATAATTCATTACAAATCAAAATACCAAAGTTATTCAATAGTATACTGAGGGAAGATTTTCGTCAAATCCAGACGATTCATTATGTACGTCAAAGATATATTTTCAATCCGGTGCTGAGAAAAGCAATGATATATATTGTAAAATCCAATGATTATTGTCATACTAAGTTTCAATTATCTAGCCAATATTATCATTACTATCTCTAAACAAGAATTAACTCCATACATAAGCGGTCTACAGCAAGAAAGTCATAGAAAACAATAAACATCATTCATAACATCGTTCATTTTTGACATACATTGAATTTGTTAAATTGATTATATACAGCTAATAACTACTGTTTGAATTAAGTTAACAAAATAGAAAGATACTATAAACATCCAAATAATACATATTTATTTTTATAATAATAATAAAACATATAGAGATTAAATTAGTATTACAAATATCTATATGACTATCTATTCAATAATAAACTATTTATTGGTGATAAATACTACGTGGTCTGGTGACAACAAGCAATGGAAAAAATACCAATCAATGTCGAAATCGAGATCCATTAATACATTTGGTATGAAACTCATTTTTAGGAGCTGTTATTTTCAGGATATAAAGTGTATTTGTGATAAAAATGATTTATCATGTTGGCGTGTTCTGACAAACTAAAACGAGGGACTTACAGTACAAACCGGAGAATTGATTTAGCGACATCTCTAGTTTTTATTTTTTTTCAACCAAAATTTGTTGATCTATTCTTTCGCTATGAATGTACTGTAACGCCCTCATCTAGATGAAACTCAGTTTTTGCTAAAATAGAAAATAAAAGTAAAGATGTACTATTGTTTATCACATTTTAGTCACAATTTCTTTTTCTGACGTTTCACTGAAACTAGATGTCGTCTACTGTAGTACATTTGAACATTCATTCAATGGCTCATGCGTATGTGTCCACTGATAAGAAGGATACACGACAACTAGATCAACATTGTTTAAATACTGTTCATTTGTTAGTCGATTTCGGTATTTACTAAAATAAAAATATGGTATAACAAAAACAATATACACAACTTCTTATTGTCTTTTTTTTTATTTTCATTTCTTAGTTGGTGGCTGTTGTAAATTACTAATTCGTTTATATAATTGTTTCTCATTATTCTCTTGATTTTGACCGCAATCAAAATCAAGTTCATCATTATCATCATTACTATTATTATTTTCAATTGTTTGATAACGTCGTTTAATTTGTTGTTCAAAATTACTTGGTGAAAAATAAATTGTTGGAAATTGATCTATTCCAAGTTGTTTAAGAAGTTCATTGAATCGTGAAGGTGTTATTTGATTCGGTAAAGCTATTGGATGAATATGAGTTGGAGATATTTGTTTAATAAATGTACATATCTCATTATATGATGAATGAAGAGAATAGCAAAGACGATAATAATCAGTAGATATTTGAATAAGTGGAGAATTAAATTGTTGTTGTTGTTGTAAAGTAAACCAGAGAACAGAAAGTACAATCTAAACCAAAAAGCTGTTAGTGCAATCTCTGCGAAATTAAAATGTAAAACACAATGTAGCTGCTATTGCTAATCACAGAAGAATTGTGTTATTCTATCTATTTGGAGTCACATTTCTTCGCAATCATTTTCCTTCATTCTTCAGAAATGCTCACAATTTGTGACGCGAACATCGGATGGTGTTGCTAAGATATTCATCAGAGTCTGTTATAAAGGAGAAATATTGCTAAGGATGTTTACCATGAGCTGCTTCTAACGCATCTGTCAATCCCGTGTGTCACGGTCTGTGCGGAGTACAAATTTATACTCTGTATATTTCAACATTCCTCTTACACCGTGTTTTACAAAATATAAAAATGATTAAAAAAAAATTTTCTTCAATAATTACCTTAATTGATGATTTTGCACATGAACATTTAGGCCAACAAGCATGCAATCTTGTTCCATGTGCATCTATTGTTAATGCTTGTTGAACTTGTGGTAAATAATCATATAAATGATACTGTTCTGAATTTACATGAATTAAAATTCCAAAATGTTGATATAATGATGTATAAATATATTCATAGCCTACACGAGCAGATGTTTTAAGATAGAAATATCTATTATCATATTGTTCAATAAAATGAATAAGTTCTTGACATGCTTGTTCACGTTCAGGTAATTGTCGAATAGATGGTTCGAAAAAAGTCATGTCAATATAGAGTGTATCGATAGGTTTTTTTGATAAAATAATACGATGACGATTTGATTGATGAGAATAAAGACGAAAATCACCGGTATATAAAACAGTACCATGAGAACCTTCGAAAAGTAACATTAATGAACCAGGACAATGACCAGAACCAAAACAAGTAACTGTTATTGCAATATCTGAGAAACGAAAAAAGTACAAAAATAAATTTTTTTTGTAAATTTTCATACTTTTATCCATAGGATTTTCTATAGTATATGGTTGATCAACATTAATTATTGAATAAAATTGTGATAGATGTTTATATGCAGGTAATATTGAAAGAAAATGTCTAGATGCTTCTGAACAATATATACGAATTGAACGATTATTTGTAATATATTCAGCAAATATTGGTTCATCTAAACCACGAAGATGATCCGTATGTCTATGGAAAAAAAAAACTAAAGATTTATTTTAAACATAAAAATTATTAATTACATATGTGAAATAAAGAAAACTTGTGATACTTGACAATTTGTTGTAAGAAATGAATCAATTGAAATCCATGGATATTCTTTTAATATACCATTGAATGTACACATATTTCTCTTCTTTTAGTATTCTATCATTGGATTTAATAGTTTTGACAGTAATTGCATAATTATTAGGCAATATTCTGTTCGTTTTGCAATGGGCAATTTTTGTCTCCAGTAAAAAGCTAGTTGCATAGAGAACGCTATGTCGGAAACGAAGTTTTTCTTTCTTTCTTTCTTCTTCAAAGTAGAACATAGTATTTGTAGCATACCCATGTAAATGAAACGATCGAAAAATCAGATTCGAAATTGATTTTCAAACAATAATCACATAAAAACCATTAAATATGCCATTTTCAGATTAAATTCAAAGAAATAATAGATCTAAATAGATTTTGTCAGCCGATAATCAATCAAAGTCGAGTTTTTGGAAAATAATCTGACGCATCGATTTTAATTGATTTTTAAAAGAAAAACATTAAAATTCTGTTTTTTACGTGCAATTCTCGACCCATGTAAAAGAAATTAGACGAAAAATCAGATTAAAATCGATGAAAGTTTGATTCAAAATCAATTAAAATCTAAAATTAAAGAAAAAAAATCGATATTTCATCAGTTATTCTGTTTAATGTCGATTATAATAGATTCAATTTGAATACAAAAAAAATCGATAATAATTGATGCAAATCAAATAAGACCGGTGAAAGATCATACCATTTATTATCAAGTAAAAGCAATAGGGTTTTCAGAGTTTTTTAATGAATTATAATCGGAATTAATCAGAGTAATCAATGGAATTCCGATCTTTCGGATTACTTTTTTGATAGTAAGCGTTTCTGCATTGATTAAAAGCCTACGATTTTAATCGATTTTCGTAAAAAAAAAATTTTAAAGAAATTGATTAAATATAGCACTTTTGGATTAAATTCAATACAACTTTCGATCTTAATCGACTTTCTTTGGTAAAAATTGATTAGTCATGGAGGAATGGAAGGTAGCTGAAAATAGCTTAGTCCCACCAGAAGTCTTTGAGTTTCCTCTAGAAATTAGACAATTCTATATTATATGCGAAGAAAACACTTGTTTTTTAGCTTCTCTTCTCGAAATTTTTCTAGCTCAGCCACTATCAATAAAAATTGATTTTTTTTTTCTATAAAATCTAAATAATCAATTTCGTATTTACTCCATTACAGTAGATTTGCTTATAGAGAATCCATTAATAATAATATAGATTTAAATCGATTCTTTGTTTAATCTATTAAAGTACATTTAATTCCATTGAAAATGAAAGATAGATAAAATTAGAAAACCGATATAACGAATTTATTAAAGTTATTTTTGGTTTTTCGAAAGTTTTTATTTATGTTGCAGTAATACATAAGCAAATTTTCTAAACTAGATACTTCATAGTGGTGAAAATTCTCGATGATATTCATAAGAGTTCTAACACAATTTTTTATAGAATCAAAACAATACTGATGAGTTTTACACTCTGTTTAAACAGCTGACATACAGCTTAATACTTTTATCTAATAAATTAATTAGTATGTGATCGTTAAAAAATTTGTTCATTCTGAAAAATAATAATTAATAAATATGGTCAGTCATTTAAAAAGACTTCAAACAATTTGCTAGAATTCTTTTTTTTCTATGCTCGTAAATAGAAAAACAAAACTTAACAGTTGATAGAAAGTATCATAAAAGCAAGAAGCAAAAATCATGTCTAAAAGATTTCTATAGAAATATTACAAAGATGAGATTAAATAACGACTGTTATTTTAGAGATTGAACTATGAGTTGTTTTATTATTTAACATATCGATATCTAAAAAGTTCTTGTCTGTACTGTGTCATCGATCTCCTTGCAATTTTGTCCTAGTTTCTTCTTCTAAATTTGCGACGTCATAGGTCATTGAGAACATTTCTTTTTGTTTCTTTTTCTGAATTTGCTTTGTCATTGAGATATATATATATAGAGGTGCGTATCGTTATTCTTCACCTCACTTATCATTATTTGTTGAAGTATTATATCAATGTCCTCTACTAAAATTAACATTTTTTTAACCGGTGCAACTGGTTATATTGGAGGAAGTATTTTAACTGCGCTTCTTCAACATCCAAATGCTTCAAACTTTAATATTACTAGTCTTATTCGAGGTGATAATGAAAGAATTAAGAAATTATCATCACTCAATGTTACGCCTCTAATCGGTTCAAATGATTCGTTCGAAATTATTGAAAAAGTTGCAAGTGAATCCCATGTTGTCATTCATACTGCAAATTCAGCTGATGATCTTCCATCAACTAAAGCTATTATTTCTGGCTTAAATAAACGGACTAAAGAAACAGGCAAACCAGCAATTTATATTCATACAAGTGGTACAGGTGTTCTTGCAGAAGATGTTTGCGGTAAGGCTGGTTCAAATACGGTCTATTCTGATCTTAATCCTGATCAAATTAACGGTCTTGCTGATGAACAACCTCATCGTAATATTGATCTCTTCATCATTAACTCAGCAGATGCAAATCCTCTTTTAAAAACAGTTATCATTCTTCCATCTCTTATTTATGGTATCGGTACTGGTCCATTCAATCGTACTTCCGTGCAACTTCCAATTCTTATTCGATCAGCTTTAAACCGACATAAAGCCGAAATGATTGGACCAGGTCAAGCAACATGGAATAATGTTCACATTGCCGATTTATCTGATGCTTATATTATTATTTTTGATCAACTTCTTGCTGCATATGGTCCTAGTGCCAAGCTCGATGTACAACCGAGTCCTTATCTAACAACAGGACGAGAAGGTTATTATTTTCTTGAGAATGGAAAACATACTTGGCGACAACTGTCAGAAAAAATTGGTGAAGTTTTATACAAGAAAGGTATTGCTAAATCACCTGACGTTACAAGTTTTCCAGATGACGAAGTAGAAAGTAGTCTTATGGGTGAATATAGTTGGTATTTAGTGGGCAGTCAATCAAATTCAAAAGCTGAAAGAGTTAGAAAATTAGGATGGAAACCACATCGACCAAGTGTTTTTGATAGTGTTGAAGAACAAGCTGATGCTTTAATTAATAATGTCAAAGATTAAATTTATTGGAACATTATTTATTATGATTGATTGATTTATTTACAACATATAATTTTGTTTGTATTTGTTCATTATGATTTTTAGTTATTATCTCGGCTTCTATAGGTTATGATAAACATTGTAAAACTCACATTGAAGAACAAAAAAAAAGAGTTGAATTTCAAAATCCTGAATATAACTTCTTGAAGATCATTCAGAAAGTGGAAAATTGTAAAACAAAAATGATTACTATTCATCCTTGAAATATCTAATTACTACGCGCGTTTGTTTCGTTTCTAATGCATAGATATACGAATGCAAACCAATTACGCAAAATGAAGAAGCTATTGAGTGATTATATGGATGCATATAGCTCCCATATAAGTGATCATAGCCGGACCCAATGCAGCAATCTTTTTCATGCTCGAAACTGAAACCAACGCAGCAGTTTGTAGGCTAACTCAGATATTAGATTAAACCAGGTGCCTTATACCTGACTGAATTGTAAGACTTTAATCCTTGAAATAATGTGTATTTCGCTCTAAAATACAAAATCATTTATGTACAACTTTAATATAATTTAGACTTAATGATCGCACAATCTTTTCTTCTATTTCACCGACTTTTCTTTGTTGATATCGGACAAATATGCATAGCGAGTGCAATGTCTATTCTTTGATGATATAAAGGTCACAAGTTGTATACATAACAAAAGA